CTCAAGGTGCTGTTTCAGCCAGCACTGCTCAAATAAGGTTGCTCTCAAGGTGCCGTTTAGTCATCACTGCTCAATAAGGTTGCTCTCAAAGTGCCGTTTCAGCCAGCACTGCCCAAATAAGGTTGCTCTCAAGGTGCCATTTCAGCCAGCACTGCTCAGAAAAAGGTTGCTCTCAAGGTGCCGTTTTAGCCATCACTGCTCCAGAAGGTTGCTCTCAAAATGCCGTTTCAACCAGCACTGCCCAAATAAGGTTGCTCTCAAGGTGCTGTTTCAGCCAGCACTGCTCAATAAGGTTGCTCTCAAGGTGCCGTTTCAGTCAGCACTGCCCGAATGCTCTCAATGGTGTTGTTTAAGTCAATAATAATAACAATAATAATAATATAATATACAACATTTATATAGCGCCCTATATAGTTTGTAAAATTACTCTAAGGCGCTTTACAACATATGGATAATAGTAATGGTTATAATTGTGAAAACAAACAACAAAGGCTTGCAATCACTTTCATACATTTAACAAGCAATGTGCACATAATTGAACAAATAAATAAATAAATAAATACTGCTCGAATTGTGACGCCCTCGAGCGAAGTCTTCCTGCCAATACTTGTAACAGTTTGCTTCTCTCAAGGGTGATATTTAAGTCAAACCTGTGTTTCTCTTGAAGGACAATTACGCCTATCGAACAGTCGAAATAAAATAGCTCTAAATAAATTCATGCTGTTCTTGAAGATAATGTTTCATGACTCTCAAATCCCAATTGGTAAATCAACGTTGCTCACTGGGTCAATGATCTGTTCGTGTTTGAATGTCCATTTCCCAGACTAACGCTGTTCCGATGATAGAAGTCTTGATAATAAAGAAATGTTTAGAACGAGCATTAATTCTTCATCGCCAGTATTTTATAGTATTCTATAACCCAAACAATTCTTTCCAAAGGAAAAACTGAAGTTAAGGAATCGGTGGTTGGGTGGCGCAGTGGTTAACGAACGCGCCTTTCACCAAGTCGGCCGGGATTCGACACCCCGATCGGACGTGAAAAGTATGGGGTCACCTGCCCGACGATGTAGTTTTTTTTTTGGGAACTCCGGTTTCCACCCACATGAAGACCCTCTCAGCGCTTATATCCGTGCACACCAGAGTGAGTAATATAAGTTATAATAACTTGTTTCATAATTATTGTGAAAGAAATAAAGTTGATATTTAACAGGTAAAGGAATTCCCATAAATGAATGAACGTTCTAGAACCTGACAGACGGACCTGATGGCCTGTATGCTCCTCTGTTAATTCATCTGTCGACTGTTGATTTTACCGAATCTTTTGACATAAGTATTTAAAGAGTGTTTAACACGATGTTAATTGTACATCTGCTGTTTTGAACATCGTAATACATCTAACACACGTTTGACAGTTGCCTGCACAAAGAAATTGCATTCTTTTAACTTTTAACATCAATCCTATGAAGAGGTTTGCTGGTCTATGCCTACCGCAGCGCTATCATTTTTCCATCTAAGTCGGTGTCCTTGAACTCCTCATCCGACACGTTTATCTAACGACTTCTGTGTTTTCATCATCCTGATATTTACGAAATACTAATTACTATTAGATATTCTTGCCTGTTAAGACCCCTTATCATAGACGTAAACTGTTAAAACTGTAAAAGTAGAAATATTTCGTGTGTTGAAATGTTTGCGTTAAAACCGATCGCGGTATTAAAGAAATTTGCTTTGGCAACAGGTCTGAAAAGTATATATTTTATAGAGCTATGACGTATATGATCTATAGATAAATAATCGCGTGTATATATTATTCGCGCTAATTTGCTCAACACCAAAAGCGCGAGTATTTACAGTATACTTTTCGCGAACACAAAGTCTACTGTTGGTGTTTCTACTTACTGGTATGAGGATGCTTCTTCAGACTTGGGAATTTTGTTTTGGAGAGGGTGTCCATAATGTACACTAACTTTTGCCGTATTCTTGTTGTAAAATGTTTACAAGTATTTATGTTTAAGCCATAAAACTAGGACGCAGTACTATAGCTTCTTTAATTAAACATCTCTTCCATGTGTAGTTTTAAGTGTTCATTTTCACGAAACCGAATTTTGTATGAAATCTATTATTAACTTTGTTTACATCAGCTGTCGTCAGTTGGTCGATTTTTAATATTTTGTTTTTAAGTTTGTAATTATAGCTAGGATGCATTTCTACACAATTGTATACCTTACGTCTATAAGTAAACTTCAAATGTATATATACACACTTGTAAAATCAAAAGTTGACTGAATGTCAGTATGAGAACATTTTTTTTCAAAGATTTTATAAAAACATTTCTGGCCACATGTTTTATTTTTATTTAAACGAATGCTTGCACGTGGGGTTTCTTGGCAACCGAATGTTCAGGCGGCGCCACGTGTCCCTCTAATGACGTCATCAGTGACGTATATTGGGAAATGATTATTTTTAATACTCTCCACAATTTTCTGTATATTTACACTCATCCTATTCTATCTTCTCCGATTATTATTTCATTTTTTCTCTAATCCAAACAAAAATACATGCATATGATTGAGTTATTTATAAAGCCAGATTGTAAAACATTATAAAATGCAATCCGTTCCATTTAAAGTGTTTAATCTAAACCAACCGAAGTGAGTAATACTTTGTCATTGTACTTCTATTGGAGGTCACTGAAACTTCGCGTAAATTTGCGAACAGAGTAGTTAGAGCGATCAAAGATGTTACCAGTATTTAATCAAAAACATATATTCAGTGGAATCCATTTCTCGCGAATACGTCAGTAACTGATTTACAATTATAATGTTAATGGGTGTTTGCTTATTGCTACATGTATATTAATGGTGTTTACCTTATTGTAATGTTAATCCTCTTTATATTTTGTTGTAATGCTAACGGGTGCATTATTATTGTAACATTGACAATTATTTACTTATCTTTATGTTAATGGGTCTTATCCTTTTAATTGTTAATGAGCATTTATTGTAGTATCAATAGTGTATAGTATATTTGAATACATGGTAATGTTTTCTGTACGATGCCCTATATTACGTTCTTGTACTTAGACATAATTCCCGACTGACTCCTCATCCAAAGTCAATCAATATAAAGTCTTTATACAAAAATAGCAATCTCAAGCTTACCAGGTAAATCAAAAGAAAATAAATCGACATATAAGTTTAACAGATTAAGTAAGAGAGACGAGAGGGTGAAAGTCTTTGGGCATGTTAAGTAATGGCATATCTAGGCTACGTATAGCTGGATAGTCAACATTGTGTCAATAGGCGGCTTATTTCTTATATCTAGGCTATATATTCCATCCCAGTTTTCCTTTGCGTGGCCCCTAATTACCAATGCTAAGGTAGAATTTGTGGTCCTGGCCATCCTGTGCTTTACATGTGTAATAGTAATGGTTAGGGGAATGACAGAGCGACCCTATCAAACCTGTGCACTGTGACACACCACAGCACAGTTTTTATATATCGTCGCGACACTTTGAATATCGACTCTTCTCGCTAATATCTCGAAAAAACTGATACCTCGCCAAACGAGGGTTTGTTTGTTTGTTTGATTTGTTTAACGTCCTATTAACAGCTAAGGTAATTTAAGGACGGCCTTTCCTGTGTGCAAGATGCATGCGTGTAGTGTATGTGTGTGTATTTTGGGAGGCTGCGATATGTTCGTGTTTGTCTCCTTGTGATAGCGCGGAACTGATGCCGACTTTATAGTGCTACCCCACTGAAACATACTGCCGAAGACACCCAGCAGGACGCCCCACCCGGTCACATTATACTGACAACGGGCGAACCAGTCGTCCCACTCCTAATTTGCTGAGCGTTAAGCAGGAGTATAAACTACCATTTTTAAAGACTTTGGTATGTCTCGGCCAGGGGACAGAACCCAAAGCCTTCCTCACAGGGGCGAACGCTCAACAAATGGCCAAAAGTGAGGCATTGTCAAGGGAGACATTAGGAGGAAGAAAGTTATTTGGAAAGGAGAGAAGAGATAAGGTCCCAAATTTAGTCGCCTCTAACGATCATGCAATTGGGGGCAGCAGGTACAATTCTTACGCCCTACCTGCAGGGTCACCAAACGAGGGTGATTGAAAAACCGATAAAAATAAACAACCAACATCTTATGTTGAAAACTACATCCGGTTCGACGGTTACTTCAAATAAACCAATGACGTATCGGATGCTATTTTGCAGGACTTCTTTTGATTAACAGGACTTTTGCAAGGTTGCAAAATAGCGGCCCAAAATTGATAAGAATAATGAAATAAATTCGACTGTTTTCCCGCTAGAAACATAGTTCCACGCGTAAACGAACGAGCCCGAAGCGTCTCGTTGACGTTCATGTCAAATCAACGTATTACATGGACGGATAGTCGCGCTAACTTCACACGTTCCCGAGGCGATAAAGCAGGCAGTTTGTGGCTGATCTGTGGACGGTCTTGAATATCCAGACTTATTTCTTATATCTAGGCTATGTATAGCTTGATAGTCAACACTGTGTCAACAGGCGACTTATTTCTTATATCTAGCCTATGTAAAGCTGGAGAGTCTATCACTGTGTCAACATGCAGCTTATTTCTTATATCTAGGCTATGTATAGCTTGATAGACAACACTGTGTCAACAGTTGGCTTATTTCTTATACCTACGCTATGTATAGCTTGATAGTCAACACTGTGTCAACTGGCAGCTTATTTCTTATACCCAGACTTTGTATAGCTGGATAGTCAATCAGTGTGTCAACAGGCATCTAATTTCTTATACCTAGGCTATGTATAGCTGGATTGTCAAACGCTGTGTCAACAGGCGGCTTATTTCCTATAGCTATGCTGTGTATAGCTGACAGTACAAACACTGTGTCAACAGGCGGCTTATTTCTTCAATCAAGGTAAAATATCGTTTCCTAAAATTAAAAAAATATTTAACAATACCGAGGGAGTTGTAAGAACTTGTGTTTGATAATACTTACCCAGACTTAGCGAAGTTTGCCCAGTATTTCATCATCTTTCTTGCCAATCGTTTTTCTAGATTACTGTAGTTTTTATGATTGGTAAGTGGGTCACCAAACGTGAAAAATATCTCATCTCCGTGCATCACTCCCATCCAGTTAGGCCAGAAATGTCTTGAAGATCGGTGAGCAAACTCGTAATAGTACACACTCATATTCGCCATGGCATAATTCTGTGCTAGCTCCACCACGGGACATATGAAGTTCAGGTCGCCTATTGCCTGTTCAATTCGATCTCTATTCATTGATTTGCTATTGGGGTCCTTCCACGGTGTATATTGAAATAAAATGGCGTCTTTTCCAAACGAATTGATTTTCATCGGAAATTGAGGGTAGTGAGTGAACATATCGTCTACTGCCATGACAAATTGTCGTCGTTTAAGAGTACTTTCCTGTTTTAAACTAAACAAGTTTATATTATAATACGGTAGAAGCCACGTTCCTTCGTTCGAATTAGATCCAACTAATATTGGTACTTTCTTAAAATTTTGACGTCTGAATGAGTTTTCTGGGGATTCTGTTAAGAATACTCCGTCTATTATTGGTACGAACGGGAATTGTGAAATCCCCCTGACGATATCTGGATCGTACTCATTCGTGGGGAAATCAACTGCCGGTCGATTACGCAGACACAACAGCATTTCCGGAATACTGTTGCGCGTGCAGTTCATTCCCCCTGCGAACACGTGACTCCTCCTTGTAGACTCCTTCTGGGTAAGCGTGGCCCAGGGTGCCGTTGGTCCTCCACTCTGTAAGATAGCCCTGTCGAACTTGCCCCGACTTAAAGGTGACAAAAGATGCATGCCAATACTCGCGGCACCCGAGCTTTCTCCAAACAGTGTGATATTGTACGTACTTCCGCCAAAATGGTGCACGTTCCTTTGGACCCAGTCTAACGCCATTGACTGATCCATGACGCCAGCGTTACCAGGCGCGTCAAGATGATCAAAAGACAAGAAACCAAGGGAGCCCACTCTGTATTGCATAGATACAACGACTACGTCTTCTTCCGCCGCGAGGTATTTCGCGTCGTAAACGTCTAGGGAAGAGGAACCACTGAGGAAGGATCCACCGTAGATCCATACCATCACCGCCTTAGGTTTAGGATCTTGTGTTTTGCTAACTGGGCGCCAAACATTGAGGTATAAGCAGTCCTCACTAGGGGGCGTATTAGGATTCCATTGGTTAGATCCATTGAAACCCGGAAAAACAACATCGAAACCTTGCATACAAGCGTTTGGCCGCTGTGTGGCGTTGTATACACCAGACCAAGGGTCATTTGGCTGAGGGTGACGGAAACGATACCTCCCTATCGGAGGCTTGGCGTAAGGTATTCCGTAAAATACATCCACCTGTTTCCCATGGTGCACCTGTATGCGCTTTCCCTTCACAAGTCCCTTGTCGGTCTCCACGACCAGGCTCTGGGTCAACGCATAGGGCAAGGACACCAACACATACACCAATGACGTCAGCACAGATATGGATGATGCTTTTTCCATGACATCAGTGTGTATGTCGTTGTGCCTGAAAAGACAAAACACAGTTCGTGAATATATAAAAAAAAATCAGCGATGTGTTGTGAAAATCACCATTTTATAAATATCTATTACGGTGAAACGAAACCAAATCTATTTCACTAAAACATATCTTCGTTGATATCAAAAAGGTACTTTGATATCTTCGGTGTGAAAATCACTCCGGAAGGTGGGAACGTTACTAAAATTCATTTATGAACTCGATGTCAAACGATTGTATCCTATTAAAATTGCGTTACGAAGCAAAATGCATCATTTTATCGAACAACTTTTGATTAGCCAGAGGGAACAAATCCGAAACAGTGTAATAAATGCTGTTTCGGCATATTTCTGGTGTATGTGCAGCCTTGGGCCTGTCTTGTGATAAACATGCCACTAACCCTATATTAGCGCGCACGTTGTCGTATTTAAAATGATAGGCAATGCGAGTGTCGGTAGACAGTAAACGGCAGACAAAGAACGATTTCTATCCATACCGACACTGTACACCTACCATTATATTTTTATAAGCGCATACGTCTCGGTTACAAAATTATTGTTTGAAACAGCCGTTCACATTGGCGCACTGACTTAAACTATTATGATCACATAAATCTCCATTAGTTGACTTTATGCATACAAAGTTAATTCGTAGTTTTGGAGCCGTTTCAGGGTCTAAATGAGGCGGTAATGCCATTGTCACCCTGAGTCAGGATTCTTTCAGGTTTTCTTTTGTCTGATGTTGTTCTATTCCAAATATAATTTAGACAGATTACACAATCTAAAGAGGCAACCAAAGGTTTCCAGCAGAAAATAAAAATAAAAATAAAAAGAAATTCAAATTGATCAATTGAATAATTTATATCTGAATAACTTCAAACTTAAACATTCTAAAAAAGGGGGGAAATGATTATTCATACAAGTTAATAAATGCATAAATAAAAAAAAAATGTCCCTATATATTCCATCCAAGTTTTCCTTTGCGTGGCCCCTGATTACCAATGCTGATGTAGAATTTGTGGTCCTCGCCATCCTGTGCTTTACATGTGTAATAGTAATGGTTAGGGGAATGACAGAGCGACCCTGTCAGCCCTGTGCACTGTGACACACCACAGCACAGTTTTTCTATATCGTCGCGACACTTTGAATATCGACTCTCCTGGCTAATATCGCGAAAAAAAGATACCTCGCCAAACGAGGGGGATTCAAAAACCGATAAAAATATACAACCAACATCTTATGTTGAAAACTGCATCCGGTTTGACGGTAACTTCAAATAAACCAATGACGTATCGGATGCTAGATTGCAGGGCTTCTTTTAATTAACAGGACTTTTGCAAGGTGGCAAAACAGCGGCCCAAAATGGATAAGAATAATAAAATAAATTCGACTGTTTACCCGCTAGAAACATAGTTCCACGCGTAAACGAACGAGCCCGAAACGTCTCGTTGACGTTGATGTCAAACGCGCTAACTTCACACGTTCCCGAGGCGATAAAGCAGGCAGTTTGTGGCTGATCTGTGGAAAGTCTTGGATATGTTCTCTCGGTTCTCAGGGTTATATCCAGACTAGACATGAAATAATTATCGTGTAATGTAGGGAGGATTTAGTTTTAGTACTGCTATTAGTTTCTCGTTGTTATACAATAATGTAGTTAGTGATACTTAACGCATGTTAACATAAAAACGGTTTGTACTTTTTATTCCATGAAAAATTCAGGTTCTCGTTATAAATACTAAACCTAAAATCTCAGGAAAAATGTCTGCAAAATTAGCTAGTGGCTTCTGATCCTAGGGTTCCTAGCATAGCTGTACATCTGACTGCTTGTATGTATGTATACATATATGTATGTGTAAATTCGTGTATGTCCATGTACTTACTCCTTACTGAAAGGCAAATCAGACTTGAAAATAAATAACTTATACAGTGTATGTATAAATAGGTGTACGTGTGTGTATATTTGCAAAATGAATTATTTGTGTTTCTTCACATTCATGTATGGCATCATCATCATATGTTTATTTCCTCAAAACTGAGATACATTTACATCAAATATTGTTCTAGTTGATAATTATAAAAGTTGCATGCGAATAATGAACACATCGACACTGGTAATGTGAATATTGTACAATAATACATATCGTCATTGATAAATCCCATTTTTTCGTATTTTTGTATTGCTAAAACCATGAAACCGCTGCTGAATCATCAGCCATATCTACTTGTCTTTAAATTCTTCTTTCTACTACTTCTCTGTTATCTCCCCTGTCAACTTTCTTTCTGTTTACCCTATCGTGACCTTAGATCGACTACATGGCACGTGCAGTCATTCATGCGTACATACAAAGAAGTACTTTTCTTTGACAATTGTTACATGTATATGTTTTCTTTAGACGCTCCCGGGGGGAATCCTGTGCAATATATTGTTTTTGATAATGGTTAATCGGTGATATGTCAGCAATATCGCACAGGATTTCAATCGGTTGCTTTTATAATATAGCTTATGGAGGATCATGTTTTAAAAAAATACGTAGTGTAATACACATTCATACTGATTATATTTCGAATGAACACATATTTTACAAAACTCTTTTTATATCTAGTGTTAAAGCAAGCGTTGCATCTTTCATGTTGATGTGCTTACAGTCAAAGTTTCAAAACATAAATTTTTGCCATATTTTGTTGTTATTACTTATATTGGACATGGATGTAGAAACTAATCCAGGTCCATCAGTAAATGAATTATCTCTATTTCATTTGAATGTTAGAAGTATAAGGAATAGATTAGAATATATTGAAAATATTACAAATTAATTCAATATTTTATGTATGACTGCAACGCATTTGGATGAGTATGTACCTACTTCTGAACTAGTTCTACCGGGTTTTGTGGAACCATTTAGAAAAGACAGAAATTTCTCCGGTGGTGGTATTTTAGTATATTATACTGTTTCCTTAAAATGTGTCCGGAGGAATGATCTCGAATTTCTGGATGGAGAAATAATTTGGATACAGGTAGAGTTAGGTCACAATAGTGTATTGATAGGTACCGTTTATAGACCAGAAAATTCACGTCACCCCTTTTGGGAGAATTTTAAGTATTCGATTGAAAAAGCTTTAGAAATTACTTCGAATGTTATTATTGTTGGGGATATAAATGTAGATATGCTAACGTTATCACGTAATCATATTTTACACCAAGTCATGTTGGAAATGGACTTATCTAACGTTATTAATGAGTCGACTAGGCGTGGAACAACCAGAAATAGTTTACTTGATCCTATTTTATTAACTGACCCTAACAAATGTACTGATTCGTATGTAATTCCGATTGATCGTAATATAAGTGATCATGATGCATGTATTGCATTTTTGTCCATACCTGTTAATCTCTCTTGTACCTACACTCGAGAAATTTGGGCCTATAAACATGCTGATTTTAATAGGTTAAATTTTTTAATAGATACTTTTGATTGGCCTACATTTTTGCAAAACTTTATTTCTGTTAATGTAGCATGTGTTGAATTTACTGAACAATTTTGAAACTTGCTAAAGAATGTTTACCTAAAAAAACAGTTTATATAAGACCACGTGATAAATTGTGGATGAATTAAGAAAAGCTTTTCAGTTACGAGACCGGTTACATAACGCCGTTAAACGTGTTAAGTCCAGATCCAACTTAGAGAAATTTAAAAGACAAAGAAATAGGGTTAATAATATCAAAAATATGCAAGAGAAATGTTTTATAATAGTGTTGGTGATATTATAGATAATCTTAATACCAGTAATCCTAAGTCATATTGGAGACTAGTTCGTAAATTATTAAAACAGTCGGGTTCTCAGGAGGTTATTCCACCACTAGTTAATCCTTGCAATGGAAATATTGAATATGATGATGATAAGAAAGCAAATATTCTAAATAATTATTTTAGCTCTATCTCAAACATAGATGATATTGGCAAATCTTTACTCAATTTTGATTCCAGAACTGATTCTGTACTTGATTATATTGTGGTTGAAAGTGATGAAATATGTGATATTTTGAAAATTCTGAAATTAGGAAAAGCATCTTGTCATGATACTATAAGTCTAAATTCTAAAATATTCCCTGAAATATGGAAACAGGGTATTATTTTACCTCTGTTCAAAAAGGGTGATAGACACTTGGTGTCAAATTACCGACCAATTACTTTGTTGTCTTGTATAGGTAAGGTTTTTGAAAGAGTTGTTTTTAAACACATCTATATTTTTTTCCTTGATCATTTTTTATTTTACGAAAAACAATCTGGTTGTATGATTCATCATTCCACTGTCCATCAGTTAATAGAAATTTACCATAATATATGTTGTTCATTAGAAGAAAAAAAAACATACTTGTCTAATTTTTTGTGATATATCGAAGGCTTTTGACAGATTTTGGCATAGGGGTCTTTTACATAACTTGCATGCTTATGGTATTAGAGATGGTTTACTACATTGGTTAAAAAATTACATTTCAAACAGACAACAACAGGTTCTTGTTAAAAGTGTGTATTCTAATATAGGTTACACAAATGCTGGTGTACCACAAGGAAGTGTGTTAGGTCCTCTGTTATTTTTGGTTTATATTAATGATATTGTTGATAATTTAAATAGTATTTCACGCTTATTTGCTGATGATACCTCTTTGATGTATTCTTCGTCTTCTCATGCTGATATTGAAATGTGTGTAAACAGAGATTTGGAAAAACTTGACAAATGGTCACGGGACTGGCTTACTAAATTTAATCAACAGAAAACTGATGTGTTATTTATATCTAATTCGCGAAATATACTTCCTTTACAGATTTGTTTTGGTACTGAGACTCTGAATTGTGTTGAAAGTCATAAACATTTAGGCGTAATATTTAGTGCAGATGCAAAATGGTCTTTACATATTTCCGAAATTCAAAAAACATGCATGAAAAAGGTATCAGTACTACGAAAGTTTAAATTACTGTTGAGTAGGAAAACTTTGTTAAGAATATATAA